GAAGGTAGTGCTGGGGGACCATGTCTCTACGTCATGGCATAGCTGCCATGACGTAGAGACATGGTCCCCCAGCACTACCTTCTGGAATCGGCCGTCGAGATAGGAGCGGAACCACTGCAAAGCAGTGCCTCCAACCCCCAATCCCGCAAGTCTATCCAGAAGGATACCATGGTCGATGGTATCGAAAGCCGCCGAGAAGTCCAGAAGAACCAACAGGGATGTACTCCCCCTGTCCTTCTCCCTGCACAGGTTGTCGTTGAGAAGCTGGACCAAATTCTGAAATCCCAGAACTGCTTGCTGAGCTATCCCCTCCACGTATATTCACACAAGCAAGTTGGGCACAAATAACAAATGCCTTGGGATGATTTGTGATGTATGCATATTGTTATGAGCATTTTTTCATCCCTGCTCCTTGCTTTTCCAGCCAATCACAATGAAAAGCTTACAAAATGCAACCCCTTATTGGAGCTTAACAGGTTTTGCTCTGTCACAGGGCATTTCCTAAGAGAGTTGTTAAGAAGTTGCATAACATAAAGCAAAAATCCTGCCAATCTATGTCAATAGTTTTTGTCTGTGTGAAGAGTTGATTGCAAACTGGAATAGCCCCTACTCCCTGCCTTTTTCCTCAGTCTGGACTCCACTCTCATTCACATTGCTTTGGACCAAACATTGGGAATATCTGAAGTTGTATAATTAGTCCACCCTTTTGGTCTGGTGCTGCTTCACTGGGTCTAGGAATTCACCTTCCTTTCCACCTTGTTCTCTTGTGTTGTCCCCAGTGCCCAAGATGCTTCAGTTCTCAGTTGCTTCTTGACTAATCTCACTGGTCAGCTTTGATTTTTCAGAGTCACCTACCAACTCCTCTCTTAACCCTCCATTTATCTCACATTCTGAATCTGAACTGTCTGGCTGAGAATGTTATATTGTGAGAAAGCTGGGCCTCATCTCAGCACATAGGATGGGACACAAAGTAGTAGTATGTAATCTCCTGTGAATCAACAATTCAATTAGTATTGACAATTGGATGGGGAGGGAGAGAGTGCGAACACACTAGAAGAAAATTCAATTGCTCTGATATACAGAAGGGAAAATATCAAAGGGGCTGATTATTAATTTCATTCCTACCACACCCATTAGCCAGGATGACTCTCTGGGTGGCTTACAGAAATAAAGGTTCCAACTTTAATTTCTTTCACTGCACTACTCCTAAGGAGGGCTAGAATAACTTCAACTTACAATTGAAATGTCTGTGTTTTCCTGAAGTGCCAATGCCTCTAGAGTTGTCTTGCCTCCCACAACTTGTACACTGCTAAGTGAATTACCACATAAAAAATGACAGTAAGACTTATTTGCAAACTGCCTTTCAACCGCCCTTCTTTCAAGATCCTCATTCTCTGTGTGTTGTCTTCCTGCCTCTCTCTCAGGGGTCGGCAGAAACGGAATTATGGGGGAGCTTCTGATCCACTGGCAACCCAGTTGATACAACGCATAAGTAACAGATGCAACCAGCTGCTGCAAAGGGTGGTGATGGCTGCTTACTTAAAGGAGAAAGGCTTTTAAGGAGAAGGCCAGCTTCTAGGTGACAGGTACATGAAAGTTTTACCTTAGCAATAAAATCCGTATTACACATAGCCCTTCATTAGGACACTTACCATTCCAGGTGGTTTTCTACAAATGCGGACATGGGGCTAATCTGTACAGTGTAAGTGTCATTGGCTGAATATTCAAACAGGCCATAGTAGGGATTGAAGAGCTCCTGAGATAGAAGGAAGAAGAATTCTCGGGATGGACCACTGTAGTCCAGGCTGAAAAGGAAGCAGATGGAATGAATGCTTTTACTGATCATATACATGCCATGACACAGGCAGCTGCTGCCTCCTTTGCAAGAAAGATGATTTTTAATATGTTCAAGTAAATGTAATTCTGTTCAGACACACTATGGTTTCCTAATACTGTAATGTTAGCATTTAATTGTCTGCCTTTAATAAATCCTGCCTGGTCATATTTAGTATAACTGCCAATTATATAATTCAGTCTAATGACCAGAATTCTGCCCATGTTCTTATAATCTGAGTTCAAAAATGAAATAGGTCTAAAGGAATCTGTGTTTGCTGGATTTTCCCCTCCCCTTTTTAGCCTGGTTTCAACTAAAATGAATTGCATTTTCCATAAAACAATAATTAGCCATATCTTTTAATACTGCAATTAATTCCTCAGTTAAACTTGCACAGAATTCAGTTCTCAAGTCTGATTCCAGGGCCTTGTATCTCTTTAATTTATAAATCTACATTCTATCTTCTTCTTCTGTTATTAGCTTAGCAAAACTTGCGATTATCCTGAAAATAAATTTATGGAACTGACAGTGATCCAAGAGGTTTATATTGGGATGTTCATTGCCATAAAGTGAACTATAGTAGCTGAAAATATTCCTTTGAACTTGTTATATAGTTGTTCCAAGCTAAAAATTATGATTGTAACTAAACATATTATATTGCATTCTTGTCATGTTCATAGAATCATAGAATAGAAGAGTTGGAAGGGGCCATGAAGGCCATCAAGTCCAACTCCCTGCTGTTGCAGGATACTATGTTACACCATCCCACTCAGGTGGCTGTCCAGGTTCTTTCTGAATGTCTCCAGTGTGGGAGAGCCCACCACCTCTCTAGGCAGACGGCTCCACTGTTGTATTGCTCTGACAGTAAGGAAGCTTTTCCTGATGTCCAGCCTGAATCTGGGTTGCAGCAACTTGAATTGATTATTCCATGTCCTACATTCTGGCATTAGCAAGAGGAGATCTTGACCTTCCTCTTTGAGACAGCCTTTGAGGTACTTATAGAGGGATATCATGTCCCTCCTCAATCTTCTCAAGGATGAACAATGCCCAGTTCCCTCAGTCTCTCCTCATAAGGCAGTGTTTCCAAACCCTGCATCATTTTTGTCACCCTCCACTACACACTTTCTAATTTACCTGCATCTTTCTTAAATTTTGGTGCCCAGAACTGGACACAGTATTCCAGGTGAGGTCTGACTAGTGAGGAGTATAGAGGAACTACTACTTCTTGTGATGTTAATCAATCCCAAAATAGCATTCGCCCTTTTGGCAGCTGCATCACATTGTTGGCTCATGTTTAGCCAATTGTCCACAATTACTCCCTGATCTTTTTCTTGTTCAGTTCTGTTGAGCCATGCATTCTCCATCTTGTATCGATGCCTTTTGTTTCTTTTTCCTAGGTGGGGGACTTGGCACTTGTCCTTATTGAATTTCATTCTGTTGATTTCAACAGAATGTTCAAGATGATCAAGATCGCCCTGGATCTTCATTCTGTCTTCTAGGGTGTTTGCTATTCCACCCAGTTTTGTATCATCTGTGAATTTGATTATCTTGCCTTGTACTTCCTCATCTAAATCATTAATAAAGATGTTGAAGAGCACTGGGCACAGGACTGAACCGTGTGGCACCCCACTAGTTACCTCCATCCAATGTGAGAAGGTGCCATTGATGAGCACTATTTCTGACCGATTTAGCAGCCAATTTTGGATCCACCTAATAGTTTTTCCATCTAGTCCAGTTTTTGCTAATTTGCTTATCAGAATGTCATGTGGCACTATATCGAAAGCTTTGCTAAAGTCTAGGTAGATTATGTCCACAGTCTTTCCATTGTCCATTCTGGAGGTTACCCAGTCAAAAAATGAGATTAAATTAGTCTGGCAGGATTTATTTTTGATAAATCCATGGTGGCTTCTATTAATCACTGTATTTTCTTCAAGATGCTTGCAGATGAATTTTTTAATAATTTGCTCCAGAATTTTTCCAGAGATTGATGTCAGACTAACTGGTCTATAGTTCTCAGGAGGTTCCTCTTTTTTCCCTATTTTGAAGATAGTTCAACTTCATGTTATGAGTCCTTGCATGACTGCTCCATTTAAAGGCTCAGTTCACTACACAATTGATAGCAACATAAAAATGCAACCACATGAAAGATGTACCACATGAAATACCATTTGTGTGAGAAATTTTTCCATTAGATTCTATCTATTTTCCCCATGTAATTGAAGAAAAGTATAAAGAATGAAGAAATTGCACTGTACACACAAACTGTTTATATGCACACATAATCTTCTCTTGGAAATATAATGGGTAAGGTCCTGCAGGCTTACAAATTGGAAAATCAGAGCTCTCACACCTATACAGATTGAGAGATTATGATAATTGACTTCATAATGATACAGACTGACATCATCTCTACAATGCTGAAACTTAGAAAGTTAGCTTTAAATTCTGAGATCCTGTGCCAGACCCATTGTGTACCATATTCCTTTTGAAGGTCATCCCATGTGGAATTGCAGAAGACAGGAAGTTTGGCCACAGTATTCCGTAAAACAAGTGTTCAGATTTCACAAACATCTTTATGGCTACCTACCCTTCCTCTCCAACAAACGTCACATAGAGTTTGTTTCTTTGGAGCTCCTTCCGTGAGTAAGCCATCACCTGATTAAAAGTGCCTTCCAGCAGGTGGTCGCGTCGTATTATTAACCTACAATGGGACAGAGGAATAACAATCAAGAATGTGAATGAAGACTGCTGACAACAGTAATAACAACATGTAAGTATTAACCTCAGAAAGTTAGGGTTATATTTATCTGTGCTTCTACTTACAGCTTCCTGTTAGTAGAAGCACTGTGTAGTTTAATATTATTTCAAGTCAATGCAGCACTTCTGGAGTGCACCATTAGTCTTTTTTTTTTGCCCCTCTCCATGAACCTCCTTTGCAAAGTTAGATACCATGAACAAGTAACCAGCAGTTAGGACTCCTCTTGACGCACAGTAGCACATTCTGCTGCTGCTCTGAATTACATTGTTTAGATTTCAGATCCTTTTCCACAACAAAAGCGGTTTTGGATTGAAGCCAGCCTGAACTTTGAAGTCAGCCAGATGCCCAGAAAATGCCTTAGAAGAATAGGCTGAGGCCCTGTATACTTTCAAATATCCCTCGGAAAAGGGCACAGACAGCCAAACCACTTGGAATGCAAATTGCACAGCCCAGCAGCAGAAAATTACAGAGATCAGCTCTCAAAATATTCAGAAAGCATGGAAAGATACAATGAGGAATCAAAAGTGTGAAGGAAGTCTTTTTTTTTTTAATTTCCTTTCCATTACCGGTAGATTCCTAAATGGCTAATTTAAGGAGCATGCCATTAATAGTCACCCAACACAAGCATACCTTCATCAGGGGCTGGGAAACTTTTCAGGCAGAGAGCCAAATTTCATTTCAGAGAAGCTCCCAGGGGCTACATCTCAGTGGTTGGGTGGGGCAAAAATGCCAGCATATTTTAGCTTAAAGATCCTCCTGCCAGTATCTATGCCATAGGAGAGACCGTTCGACCTTTTCAATTGGGGGAAAAGCTGCACAAAAGCCAGGGAAACCAAACGGGCAGATGATGGGAGGAAGGAATGGGGCATGGTCATCTGGAGGTCCACGGAGATTTGCACTGCAATGCCCAGGAAGTTGGATTTAGCCCCAGAGATTCTTTACTACTGTACTAGTACATGTCTTCAAACTACTCCTCCAAAGGAAAAACTGTGTTTGAGAGCAAGCATTTTTAAATGAAGAAATGTATCCTCTTCTCCTTCTTCCTGTAACTATTTGCTTCATCTCCATACCAACCCAAAGCTGAAGCTCTCTAGATCTTTTGCACCCACCACCTTTTTGCTGTGACTTCTCCACAACAGGGTGTCTCTCAAAGAGCATTTGTTACTGAAAAGACCTTGTAGGGGAGGAGGAGAAATGTTTTGGGGAATTTCTTTAGAAAAATGGTAGTTGAGCAAAGAGTTAAGGACCTTCTCTGTGTGGCACCACCTCCGCTTCTCCTGAAAATCCCCTTCTCCTCCATAAACTAATCCCAGGAAGAAGCATCTATAGAGATTTAAATACATCAATCTCTTTTTGCACAATGTGTACTGAGTCCCTAAATTGTAATCAATCAATAAACTAATAAACACATAATCAAATACATGTATTTTAATCTCATGATCACGTGTCAGGATTTCTAGAAAACTGGCCTTGGAAAGTATTGTTCATGTTTTGTACTGAGTTGCTGTCCCCTTGAAAAGGCAGGTTTACAGCTGGGGAGTGTTTCTAGATGCTCAGATGGCACTCATAACATGGAATATTTTTTTTACCAGCTTTGGCTGGTTTGTCCACTGCAGTCATTTCTGGATAGGAATTGCCTGTTGGGAATCTCGTGGCTTGATTAATGTAATGCAGAGATGGACACCTTCTGGTCCTCCAGATGTTTTAGCTTACAACTTGTATCATCCTTCATCCCTCCCCACTGGCTATCCTGGTCAGTACTGATGGAAGTTATAGACTAAAAGCTCCAGATGGTCAGAGTTTGTCCACTCATGCTACAATATATCACACATTTTGCTGCCCTTGGAAGTGACTCAGAGGCTTCAGTGAGAGCAGAATTTGGCTGCTAGAATTTTCAGTCATACATCCAGGGTTGTTCACATCACTCCAATGATTAAAAAAACCTGCAAAGGTTGCATCATTGTTTCTGAGCACAGTTCAAGGTGCTAGTACTGATCTTTAAACCACAGAATAGAAGGGGACCCAAATACCTGAGAGATCACCTCTTTACATGTCAGCCTTTCACAGAGGCCTTAGTCGAAACACCTTTCCTGTTGGAGGTGTACTATGTGGTCCTAAATGGGAGTAACTCTCTTGGCAATGATGCCCTGGCTTTGGAGTGTCAGCCTGAAAGAGGTATGCCTGGTGCCTACTTTGCAATCTTTTTGGTGCCAAGTTAAGACAGTTTGATTTGTATAATTCTTCAGAACTCCTTTGCGTTATTTTGTTATCCTTTATTATGGCTGTCTGATGTTAGTGTTTTATCGTATTGTGTCATGGTTTCAATAATGTATTATAAATAGATCAATGATAAATACTCACTTAATTTTACCTGGACCCTGGCCATATCCTTTGGCTTCTAGTTTTCGGTAAAAATTGCGAAGCTTGGCCTCGAAGTCTCTCCTGTAGGGAGAGGGTGCTCTTGCACTTGCACGCTGCAAGCCTGCAGAAGACAGTATTTAAAGAGACTCTGCTGCTTCATGCAAACAGTATCTTCAACCAGCATTTGCAAAGAAATCATACCTTTGGCATTACTAGATCACATTCATGGGGAGCCCTATGGCATAGCCATCAGATTTCAAAGGCAAGATACATGTGTTTCTTGTTTATAGCATATGGGCCTGATTCAGATGCTTGGAAGCCCCCACTTAATCACCCAGAACAACACGTGGCACTGCTGGTGAGCTTGCGACTACTTTAAGCTTGTGAGAGCTGCTGACCAATGAAGCAACACCTGTATAGCTTGGGATCAGCAAAGAAATCCTGCTGTTTATGCAACTGCAGTGGCACAAGGAACAGAATAAAGAACAGCGCTTGCGGCACTTGAATACAACTTTCTTTGTGCCAATATTATGACCCTCCTACCAGCCAATTCACAGGCATTGCCAGTGGTGAAATGGAGCATGAAGATACACCATATGTTGACAGTATGCCAGGAGGAAGAGCATGAGAAAAGCCCTGCTGGATTAGACCAAACACCCACCTATTAATCATCTTTTATTCATTCATTTAATCAATTTGTAGATCACTTACCATATTTGAACTGGCCTGAGCAACATAAGTCCTCCTGTTGCAGCTGTGCCTCTATCCTGTCTGACCTTTTCTGCTCTGGTCCTTGCTGTGTATCCTGCTTTGCCATGTTGCCTTGCTGTTATTCCTGCCTCTTGCCTGACCTGTGCCCTGCCTTGCCATATATCTTACCTTGTCATGTTGCCTCAGCAATGCAGGATTTGTCCGCTAGCTGCAGTTTACCTCCTACACCTTTCTGCATTTGGTTCCCGTTGCCTCCTGCATCTTGCCTTGTATCTCACCTTGCTCAATACCCTGCCGTGCCATGTATCTTGCCTTGCTGTATATTCTGCCTCAAGTGCCTGCATCTTGCCTGATGCTTGCTATGTCTCCTGCCCTAGGTACCTGCATTTCTGTTTGTTCTTTTAGGTCTCAATCCTTGGCTTGTGTCTGACCATGTCCTTCTGCATACTTCTGGTTCCTGACCTCAGTCTGTACCGTGCTTATGATTTGGACTTGCCATGAAAACCTGTTTTTGGACTTTGTCATTCCTGAAGTTCTGTTGCCTAGCTCCTGATGCCTCTGTTACTCTTATCATGTCTCTGGCTGCCCATGTCTTTGCCCTGGACCCTGACACAGGCACTTTTCTCCCAGTGTCACATTTTGTATTGCAAACCACCCAGACAAAGATATAATAAACACACAAATGGCTACATAAACAACAACTGATGTAATGCTCAAAAATGACCTGATGGTAGGGTCTTGCTCCCCTCACCACCAGCAATGAATGCCCTGGCTATGTTGTACTGAACTGGCTGGTAGGTGGAGCACTAAGCACATGGGAGAAAGTTGTGCTTGATCCATTTGAGAACTATTCCATGTTCTGCTCTTTGTGCCATTGCAACTACATAAACAGGAGCAGCATGTCCCTTTGAGACAACCGGGTGGTGGGTACAACTGTTCATTTGACAGTCTAAAGAAGCAATCCTATACATGTTTAGACAGAACACACACCCTGGACAGTTGAAACAACATATGATTGCACCCTATCTAGAGTAAGAATCTCATTTCTCTTTTATTGCCTTTTAACTTCCTCAAGAAATTAACGTATGGATATTAATTCTGATCTGCTATTTGTTCATACTTTTATGGATTGCACTCTTACAATAGACCTAAAAAACACTTTAAATAAAATAATTTCTATCACCAAGCCTTCAAAGATAGCCATTGGAGAAAGACAAGAAGGTCAATTTCCCTGCTTCTTCGATGGCGTAAAACCATTTTTCCCCAGTGAGAAATAAGCATATGACCATAGATTATTATAATTTGGTACATTACCTGGAGAATTCTGAGGTGAAGAGCAGGGAGAACAGCGAGGGGAAAAGCTGTAGCCAGGATGGAAAGCTGCTTGAAGGGGTATGTAGGACATAACATCTTCTTCAAAAAGGCTGACAGAGAAAGAAATGGGGAAAGTGTGGTTTGCTTCCATGACAGGAATATTATTCAGGGCAATTCTAAGGGATAAGAATTCAGTCGCCCACTATTCCATTAGGGTTTATCCACACACACAATTTATTATTAGGGTTTCAAATTTCTTCTATTCTGAGCAGTCACCCCAAAAGGTAAGTCGAAAAAAGGCCTTTAGCAGGAAGAAGAGCTTATTTATCTCCCCCTCATCCAGGTCCACAACTAGCCTTAAAAAGTACACCCAAAGCTCCATCCCCTACACTGTTTGGAGATGATTTGGGCCTCCCAGGACCCTGTCCTTTCCTATAGGGTCCTTTCATAAGGAATGCAGCATTAAAATCCTCTCAAGGATGATAATTTAAATACATTTGTATCATTACTTTCTTCCTCTTGCAAGGAACCAAAGGTGGCTTGCAAGGTTTTCCTGCTCTCAATTTTATTGTCACAACAACCCCATGAAGTAGGTTAAACTGAGACTCTGTGACCAGCCCAAAGTCACCTGGTGAGTTTCATAGATGAGTAGGGCTAGAACCCGAGTCTCAGTCCAGCACTCTTAACCAATATATCACATGACTTGATATACGCATATGACATTATGCATAGGACAAACAGCATCAATTATCAGGTTTATTACCTCAGTAGTATTACTAAATCTGCATCACAGGACAACTTTTCAAGCCCATGTGTACCTTCTGTCCGAATGTAGTGGATCTTCTCCCTAGAAAGTGAACAATGTGTTAAGAAGTTGCAGTATTGCTAGAAAAATATACCTTTTCTTTCTGCTACACAATTCCCTTTCTGTTGAAAAAGCCAGTCCAAAATTCTTATTGTTATAATGTAAGGTATCACCTCTATGTCTTTTATTTAACTAAAAGTTAAATAATATAGAGTTATTGTTAATATTAGAGTTATTGGTAATATTTTTGCCAATGCCTTGATACAGATTGTTGGTGGTGAATCTGACCCCAAAGGGCTGAACCGGTTTACAAGCATTAGAGGTGTCAGATTGTCATGGGTCCAAATAGTGTGAGAGAAAAGGAAGGTGTCAGGCTGCCAGAGAATAAAACTGCACACAAGCCTCAACAGGACTGATGTTGTTAAACAGGATAAGGACTGGGGGAAGCACTCAGAAGGGAGAAAAGTTAAGAGGTGAGGATCTCAGAGGGTAAACAAAGAGTACAGAGTGTTTAATGAACTAAAAAATCTGCAAGAATCTGAAGAAAGGGTGGGTGAAGAACAAGACTTGATGAAAAATCCAGAAGAGCCAGGAAACAGAGGTGAAAAGCAAGCTGTGAGAAGTCTAGCACAGGTTAATGTTAGCAGGCATATATGCTGTTGGTGCTGGGAAGGCAGACACAGATGCATGAGGTCATGGCTTCTTTCAGCCTCTGCAACGCTGTGACCTGGGACCTTTTTTCTTTTTCATGAAGCAGCAGTGTGTGTCCAAAATAGCAACCATTAAGGGCCAATTCAGTCTTTACATGCAATGCTGCATGTAATGCAAGCCAATTTTCCTTTCTGAAACAGCTCTGGGAAAGGGCGATTTGAGGAAGAAAAGGAGTGGGAATTGCTGGGGTGGGCAGCTTAGCTCTCCCCCTGAAATGTCAACTGTTTTTACGCTCCCTGAAGTTCCAGGTATGTTTTCTCCTTGGAGGAAAAGAGACTGGCAGGCAGCCGAAGGAGCAGTGGGCAGGAAAAGGATAAGCATCATTCCTTGCTGCTTTGCTACAACACATTGCCCCTTCCTGAAGAAGGGGCTGCCAGGCCAACCTTACACACAATTGCAGTGAAACATGTAGTTTGACTTAAGATTTATTTTGAAATGCTCACTTGGAAAGAGCAATATAATCTGCTTAGCAAGCAATTTGGAACTATGTCGGCGAGCTATCAAAAATGTGCTTGAAAGTAGGCACCCAAATTACTTAATTCAGGGTTAATGTGCTGTGCCCTATGAAAGAATGAGCCAATGGGAATGATTATTAATACCAGTCTCATGGAAACCAAGGATGACTAGCCTTTGTCCACCAGTGACCTAAGGTATGAGTTGAAAAAATTACCTAAAGATCAAAGAATTGGGTAACAAATCCCATTACACACCCACCAAACTGTCTTGGCCTTGGAATGTTCAAGTCTATGCTTCACTAAAAAGTAGATAAAAAGGGTTTCTACCCTGTAAGGATGAAATACTCCTAGTATTGAAGTACAAAACAAAAACAATAACCAAATAATTGGATGCTCATGATAATTACCTACAGAAATATGCATTTTAATACACAATATATACATTTTAATCTTTTTATCTAGTCCTCAGAATTAAACTAGACAAGTCTGCAAGGCCAGGTAGAAAAAGAAGTAAGAGACCAGGAGGATGGGATCTAAAGGAAAGGAAATCTCACTGAAACAGTCTAGATATCCTTTGTAATATTACTTTTGTAATGGTGAAGCAGAAGGTACTGGCTGTTCAGACCACAACAGAGTTGGTACAAATTAATGCCCTTCATGGATACTACTGACATTGACCAACTCAGAGCCTGAAAAGCCCAATAAACCTTGCCTTCCCAAGACTGCAACAATAGAATTTGTGGGTCTGCGTGCATGAATTTTTGTCAAGCATTTGGCACCAGCCACAAGATGTGGTTGTTGGACTGTGTTTGGCTTGGTTGGTCACAACTCTAAGGTGCAAGTTTCATTCAATAAAAGGCAACTCAACTTTCCACACCAAGGTCAAGAGGTTCATTAGCCTGTTTGCAACTGGGAGTTACCTGACTATTATAATATCAGTTGTTTTGTCACTATCTAAACAATGAAAATGTTTGCGTTAGCAATCAATAATGTTATCGGTAAAATTTATTTGTATCAGGCAGAGAATGTGCCCAGTATTTCTGTCTTGAGCTCTTTAACTGAAAACACTAGCAAAAGAACCTGAGACTATATACATGCAAAATCTGTGTTCTGCACTGACTTATGGGTTCCTCCCATCTTATTTTTAGGTAATTTAGCAACAGCATATAGTACCTGAGTGCGTGGTTTCTTGCCAAACTTGGCTGGCGCTCCTGCAGCATTTCAAAAATGTTGGGTTGGCGTAGAAACGCAACTATTTTGTCATTGTATGCTGAAACAGACAGGAGAGGGGGATTGTGAATGAACTTCAGTCTGAGATCATGCTTCTCTTTTATTGTTTTGTTTCAGAATTTTTAAACTGAAAACCACTTTGAATGCCTTGGCAGACAGATGGTGGTATATGAAGTAAGTACATAAGCTAGTAGGCATATCAATGAAGAAATAAATCTAATTAGCAAGAAATGACATCTATTACAACAGATGCACTGCTGACCAGGATTCTTCAGAGCATGATCATACAAAATATATCACTCACTGTTTAAAAAAAAAAAACCAGACACTAGCCAAGTTGGCATGGAATGGTAAGCCAGGATTCTGATGTAAACAAGCCTGTAATGCTTGGAGGAATCAAGTGGGAATGCTTGGCTTAACCATGCAGGCATGGCTGCTGCCTAAGGCATTCCAAGAATGCCTTATATCCCAAAGTGTCTACATTTCTACATGGTGCAGCCTTTGATTCCCCATGGATAAAGATGCTGTTCTCATTATCTGCCACTGGCCAGGCAGTCAACTGACAGCTTTTAGCCATCCAGGAACCTTGGTTGCCTGCTAGCCTCTCCATTTCACTAGGATGGGCATTAAATATGGATGCAGACTATAAGCAAGCAATACAAAACTTACACTTCCTTTATCAGTGACAATTATGCTTCCATGAATAGGCCAGGGGATGCCAAACTTACATGGGTGAGTCTCATCAATTCCTCTCCCCAGGCAAAGAACCAAAGTCAACGCCTCTTGCCCTGGAATTGATAAATGTCTTATCCCCCATTATTGCACTCTGTTGGTAGGCATACAGGCTCTGACCCCATTCCCTTCCTTAGAAACAACCAACGGGGAGGGCAAAGCTGCTTCACTAAGGCAGTTTTGTCCTCACAGTGAAAGCAGCTCTTATCTACAGAATGATAACAGTTCCAAGGCAATTATCTCAGGTACTTTTACTAACAAGCTGAAAGCCAATGACAAATCCTGGTTTTGGAACACTGGAAAAGTCCAATACACTACCAGTTAACCTTAAATAATCTCATTACTGCTCTTCCATACAATGCAAAACCCCACTGGCTGTGTTTAAAGTAACCTAGTCCAACCCAGCCTGCCTAAAGGAGAAATTTATTAGTTTAAAGCATTTGTGTCCTGCCTGGTGCACTTGTGGAGCTGTAGTGTTCTATATTATGATTTTAAAGTTTTAACATTTTGTGTTTTAATATGCTCTGAACAACTTTGGAGGGATAAACCTGGAAGGCAGCCATTTAACAATGAAGGACATTTAAAAGCAAAGCTTAAAGTAATTGAAGGCACAATCTTATACATGTTTAGACAGGGGAAAAATCCTAAACATGTTTTAGGATTGCACATTTCAAAAAAAGCTGAACTTTCAGCAGCAGATCTGGACCTGAAGGACTACAGTGAGGCAGAAGGAATTTGCAGCAGAGAAGCAGCAGACAGGAGTGGATGCTTAGCCTTCTTTACCTATGACTTTCCCCTACAACCCTCTTTCCCAACAGCAAATTCCCTCTGGTGTAGCTGAGAGACTTCTTTCAACCACAGCTTTTTTAAAAGCACATAGTTTTAAAAAAAGTAAACATGGGAAATCAAAGAGAAGTTTTCATCTTTGGAAGAGAAACACCTGTAAAAGGTCATCATGTAAACTCATTGAATGACAACCATACGTACCTAGGGGCAAAGACTCATGATGGTGCTGATTTCGAATGGCTGTTACTAGGCTGTTGCCCGGTCTGCTTAACAAGGAAACGCCTCTGTTCCGAGAGACTTCTGATGCCTAGAATGAAAAAGGGGTATTAAGCGTAAGCTACTGGCCATTTCTTTTAAGAAGATGGCTTGGGTTCTTGTTAAAAAATATGTTTATGAGGTCACATTTAGCTGCCAAGTTTGTACAGATAAAGTAGGAATGTGTTGATGGTTATTGAGACCAGCTGTGAACCAGGGTTTGGAAAAAACCTAATGAGTCTTATTATTTTATTAGCTGGAAGAGAATCCCACACATCCTACTCCGTGTAGGTACAACATGTGTATATCCAAGCTGAATCAGGAAATGAGCACAGAACACAGTTTTTATTCTCCATCCAGGGAATGGGGCAGAGGAGGATGGATTTAGCCCCCCCCCAGTCCTCGCATGGTGCCAACGAGATGACCTTCAAGCCACTGCCCTCTGATAATGATCTCAAGAGTGCCATCTCAATGGTTGTGCAGTGCACCCCTGGGATCAGGATCACTCATTCTGTGCATAAAGGGTGATTTTTTTCCAAAGAAAGTTATTAAACATTTTATATAATGTCTGAGTAATACTGCAATGAGAAAATGTACCTATGCTAGGGATTAGTGTTGAATCCAAGCTTTCAGCCAAGTGCCAATGCAATTTAAGTGACACGGCCAAGTGCCAGCTTTTTTTAAATTGGCTATAAAAGTCTTTTTAAAAAGGCACAACAGCAGCTAAATTGACCTACAAGTCACCTCTGAAAAGGAGAACATATAAGTAGCACATAGGTAATGAGGAGCCAGCCAATATACCAATATGTATGTTAATAAGAAATCGCTTGACACTAATGAAAGGCATTAATTAAATGTTGCCTAGTAATTGAAAACATAGACCTGCTGTGTACTTTGTGCTAACAAAACAGAATAAAATAGCTTGCTTTGATTCCTTCACTTCCTAATGCTATAGTTGCAATTGTATCAATCTCAAAGGAGTTGTTCCTGCTGTGTTTAGATAGATTTAAAGAAAGGATCAGGACTCAAATGATCAAGAAACCAAGGCGAAAACCTTTGCAGAAAGACTGCAAAACAAAGCCCAGCCACAAAGCTGGTAGCTCTTCTGAACAAGAGGTCCACAGAGGAAATGAGGATCCATGAACTCCAAACCATAGAAGCCATCCTATGCCATCAGTTAGGGCTGATGAAGAACTGATGCTCCTGATGATGAATGATGTTGAGCTTGCTTCAGGGGGTTCCTCAGATCCACAAGAGGCTCATACTGGCCATATCTCCAGATGTACTGACTGCTGTGCTCACCACATATCCCCAGGTGGTAGAGGCCACAGCTTAGTGCAAGACAGCATGCTTTCTATGCAGAAGGTCCAATCACAGGCATGCCTGGGTAAGGCTAGATAAATATATTGCCTGGAAAGCCACTGCAAGTCAACACTGACAATACTGCGGTAGATGGACCATTGCCCATTATAAGCCAACTTTTCTACCTTCCATACAGATGGAGGAATTGCATTAGCTCCTTTGCAAACTGACCTGGTAATGAAGATGTTATATGACCTAGACAACAACTGTGCCATTGACATCAGTGACCAGGCACACAAAGGTGGCTTTGTACCTGCTGTTTGCAACCCTGGGACTATGTGTGATAGTTTCCCCTACTCTCTTGCAAGTAACCTGCTCTCTTGATTTGGATTGAGTCTGTGGCACTTCAGGAGAGCAGGATTTAATCTTCTGCCAACACACATTCCAACGAAGACCTCCTTCTTCTGACCACACCTCCCCTCCATTGGGGTGTTTGTGTAGTTCTGGGATGAACTGAGCGGGGATTCTTAAACACTTTTCTCCCAAAGCAATGTGGTCCTGGTCTGTATCAATGCCATATGCACTTTTTGACAAATACAGAAAACAATGATTCATAGCTCCACTATGTAGGCATGGCAGAACATTGAGTTAGGCCCAAAATGGCAGCAGAACTCCCAACCCCAAAATTGGCTTCCCCTTGCACATTCTAGAAGCGAGCAACAGAGAGAAGCATACACTCTGTGCACCAGCAATACTAGCCTGCAGGGAGCCAGTCATAGATAAAGCCCATCGTAATCTTCTGCTGACAACCTGCAAATAAATTGCTCTGAAACAAACAGATATGAACGTGCTGCAAATTTTCTCTTTCCCTGTGTGTGCATTCCTCTCCAAAGTACCACTGCAATCCTACACGTGCTTAGAGAAAAGGGTCTAGGGTGTGCTGAGGGCTGTAAGATTTGTTTCCCCATTAAAACATGCCTATGAGTGTACCCTTCATCTTGTAGTTTATTTTTTCACCACATCAGGCTATGTTGGGGTCTATAGGGTCCATTACTAACATCTGCCAGTGTGGTAAAGACCAATGACTGAAAAGGATGTAGTTCAATGTACTGGGGGTGGGGGACTCCTTTGGCCCTCCTGAGGCCCTGATCTGGCCCACTGGGGGGTCCCCAGTTGGCCATGGTGGTTTTGCAACTTGTGTAGCCCCCACCCCCATTCAAATAGACTGAAATGCCTCCTAGGGATTTAATTCAGCATGAATTACTATTTTGACTCTGACTCTTTTGCCTTTGGCCCTGCTTACCACTAAAACATGGCCCCCAAAAGCTTCCTCAAAATGGATTTCAGGTGAAATTGATCCTGTGCTGTCTTCTAATTGATCAACATTATCTGTTCAATGTTTAGAACATGTATGTTTTAATACTGTTTTATTTATTTATTATTTATTTAGCAGACTTATATGCCATCCCATTCACCTAATGTTATGTATAGTCAAGTTGACTTAAAGCCCCAACATGTCCTATATATGCCAGCCCTGCTCAGCTGTTCTAAATTCAAGGCTGTAGCTTCCTTTATGGAGTTAATCTCTTACTTGGTTGTCTTTTTTGTCTTCTGTCACCTTCATTTTGCTCTTCCTTCTCATGATGGAATGCTTTAATATAATAACACAGTAAAGCACTGCACCCTTCAGAATGCTTCCCTATTTCCCCAACTTAAAAGGCATGTACGATGAATATGAAAAAAAAAAAATCACTAGGTCACGATTATACCCTGTAGTTATCCAGCAATCAAATTAAGCAGAGGAGGGAAAATTACCTCTCCAGCACTGTAACTACGAAGACGCTGAAGGTGCTGTCTGTGAGTCAAATGATTGGGTAGGCGACCATTTTGAAGTGGGATTCTGGGATCAATGAACGTGGTAGCGCGGCTGTTGTGGTCAACAAAGAAGGACTGTAATAAAACAATGATAAAAGTAATTATATAAATGAGAAAAATAGCTGGGGTAAAGAACCTAGCCAGCAGCATCCTGAATGATCTGGTAAGGCTGCTGATGCTAGCCTGGCTCTTGGGTGCAAGTTGCTTGTAGACCATGTATCCTGCGTGCTTGCTTAGCTGGCTGCTTGCCACTAGCTCACCTGCTTGTGCACCTGGACCCGGAAAAAGGCAAGCCCTTAATTTGCCTCAGCTCACTCTACCACTTGCATTTTTTCCCATCTTCAACCAGATAACCTTGCAAAGAACTTGAGATTATTTTCACTAAGTTCTTGTACCTTGCCCTGCTGGTCTGTTTTGATCTCCCAGCCTCTTGGAAGTTCCAGCCGTGTGTCAGCAAACATGTTGATGAAATTTACTAGGTCCCTGTTGTGCTGATACCGCTCAAAATTCCGGGCATCTCTGCGGATCTTCAGAATCATATGTTTTAAGCAGGTGCTGTTGGTGAAAACCCGATAGGCACTCTAGATGCAGTGAGGAAAAAGAAAAAACAAAGCATGCATTATTGTAAACATTAAGTCAATTATAACAATATATTTTGCAAGAGAAGTATGAAGCATACATGTAAAAAGTATCATCTAAAGTACTAAATACCCTTCCTCAGCCTGGTGCCCTCTCTTGTTTGGGCTTCAACTCCCACCAGCCCCAGCCAGCAAGGCCAATAATCACAAATCCTGGGAGCTGTAAAAAGGCAGCAACCATTGACCAAAGGTGCAGTCCTATGCATGTTCAGACAGAAAAAAGTCCCACAACTTACAGTATAACCCAGCAACACTGGCTTGAGAAATCTGGGAGCTGAAAGACTTTTTCCCTTCCTAAGCAAGTTATAGAATGTGTCCTAAGAACTGCAAGGATCCAGACTCTGGCTGGCAGTTTATAGGTGGTTTTCCTTACCTTTAGCTGAGGACCCACATAGATGGGCTTTTAAATGTGTGAATTCATTTAATCCGCCTTTTGGCCCCTTAAATAATAGCAACTGTGTTGGAAGTGGGTTAGAAGCACAGATACAATCAGGGCCAAGGTTTAGGCAGAAGGCTGGAGCCTTCGTAAAGCTCCCCTACAACTACTCTGTGCCATAGAGCAGGAAAGTGTGTCCCCTTGATGAAATGTGAGATATGAATGGAATAAAGATAACTTCCTTGTCTTCTATTCAATTTTAAAATATTAGTAAGGATTTATTCTGTTTCTGTGTATTCCTTGATCTTGCACGAGGATCCCACTGGCTTCCCATCCAGGATGATGATCAAGTCCACACCTGCTTAAGTTTGGCAGTCACACAGTTGGAAAGGACTTGGAGGTCATTTATGCAAGTCCTCTGCTCAGGGTGAGATCTGCAAGAGAGGATGAACTAACTGCAGCTCTGACAAATGGCCAATGCTACTGTACTTGGTGTTCCCAAACTATTCAGTGGGCCAAATGCACCACTCTTAATAGACAGGGAGTCCTTGAGCTACAGAGGTCTGAATTAAGAACAACTGGTACTGACAAATGAACTGCCATACAGTCTATCATTTTTAAAAAAAATTACTGTGAAAAATGCTCATTGCCACAGAGAGGAAGTGAAAGGGAAGAGAGGGAAGGCCTCCAAAGCATCACCATAGAGAAAGAGATATAGAAGCAGCAAAAGGGGAGAAAGGAAGTGCCTCCAAAGTATCACCAGAGAGAGAGAAAGGGTAGAGAGGGAGGCCTCCAAAGCATGCCTTCCTGCTTTGAGGAAGAGAATCTCTCTGACATTTCTCTGCTGCAAAAAGGCAGCACTGATGCATTTGGGCGACTGCGTGGGAAATAGAGATATATTAGTGGTTTTTCCACTTTCAGAGGGGTTCTGCATCTCTAACCCCCACAAATGTGAAGGGGCCGACTATATGTGATCCGACCTACATACAAATGTGACTTAAAGACAAATTTCTGTTCTCTCAGGAACAGAACTCATTCGTAACCCAGGGGCAGCCCGTACAAACATGATGTTATGACAGGGCTCACTGCAATAAATACACATCAAGGAATGGAGCCACCAGAGCCACTGTTTTAAAATGTCTTGCTGCCCTCATGTACACGACATCACATTTGAGCCAAGGTGAATAAGTAAAGATGTGGAAGGTCTTGGGTTCAGAGAATGAAACACATGCTCCTGATTTGCTAACTCCTGTCTCCTTGGAGAGATTATATTCTTTGCAATTTCCAAAGATCACTGAAGCTTATAAAAGGCAGCTCTGTTTTTGTTTTTGTTTTGCTTGTACTACTACTTTAGCTCATCCAATTGTTTCAAAGTTAATATATCTACAGGTGGGCCAGAGGTTAAATTGAAAGCTATTTTTCTTTGACCACAGGATTTGAAGATGTGGCAGAATGCTTTCCTGTCACACTAGAAAAGGCAAATTCATATGTTATCAATAGAACTGTGGTAAATTCAGAAATTCAGTTCAGTGTGTAAATTATCTAGCACATCATGCTTAGCTGAATGAATCAAAGATCATTTCCCCTACTTCTTGTCAGATAGCTCTCTGCAGACACTTGCCAAAGCATGTGAGCACTGCTGGAGTTGATGCCTCACTTTCCATCTCCACCCCTCTACGCCTGACTGCACTTTGTTGATGCAGAAGTGCTGCAAAAGGCAGTCCAACAGCATTGGCTGAGCATCATTGCTTGAGAACAAGAGTTCCCAGTCACATGGAGCAGTGTAAGCATGCCATCTGAATATGTCTACACTGCCTTGGCAGAGTTTCTTCAACAACACAGGAATAGAAGATGCCAAGCCAGAGTACATATCCTTGGCTCTGTGCAGGCTTATGGTTGACCCCACTTTGGCAAATGCCTAGAGAGTGCCATGTTTCATGAAGTCCTGCACAAACGATCAGATTGCAGCAAACCAGATGCCCAAACCAGCAGTTTTGGCACATGTACATTAAGCATCTATATTTAGCATTAAGTCAGCACCAACTGCTTTGTAGTCCCATACATACAATATCAACCCTTTACTTACTTACAAATTGTCACTATTACCACAAATTGCATTACCAGAACACTCTGCTGAGCTTTTTTAATTTGTCAAGCATTATCCCTTGATTTGGGACCATTTTCTTATTTGTGCCTTGCAAATATGTGGTTGTTGCCTCCCCCTCTTCTTCCTTGATGTATTGCTGTGGGTGGAGGGGCAGAATTGAACTTCCAGGTAGTTCTCTGCTTAGGCTGGTAACTCAGGCCTGAATACAGGGCAGTGGAAATATCAAGTGCAAGGGGAAAATATCACAACACACATTTGTTTAACACATCCTGAGATGATGCATAAATATGAGCTGGGGGAGACCTTTTAGAAAGCAGATAACTTCCAAATGAAAACTCCTACTTTTCATTCTCCAATTCCAGTGCAGGGCTAATTCCAGAGCTGAGGGAAATGTGATCACTAGTTTTGAGACTGCACTCACCTAGCCAGCTCCAGCTTGCTTTATTTATTATTGTTGTTGTTGAATATTGCATTTTTATCCCACCCTATCTTCCTTTTGCAAGGAATCCAAGGTAGTTTAAAGGGTCCTCCTCCTCTCTATTTTATCTTCACAACCCTGAGAGTAAGGCTGAGAGGCAGCAATGAGTCTGAAGTCACTCAGATCTCCTGAATCACAGTGCAACACTCTGACCACTGTACCCCAATGTGTCTCTGGGAACCAGACTGAATAATCTTACTTCCTCATGTATCCCTCAGATGGTCCAAGCTGTAAGGAGAAGCTATGTGGCTTTAGTGAGTGACAGGTATCCTTCCCAAGTAGCCACTGACTGTGGGCCTGTGATACTGATGTGGCAAGGAATCCAAGCATATGGCTGGTCCTTGTGGATCCTTCTAGAGATATTACTGGAGTGGCTTATGGGAGTAAAGCACTCATATTTCTGTAAAACCTTAGGGCAGTTATACAATACACCTGCAGCTAGCAAGACTTTATGATCACACATGGCTAATAATATTGGTAATGCACAGCTCAGGGGCACACTTTGATCCACTCAACATTTGTGGTCAGGTGCTTTTATTAAGAAGTGCTTTTTATCACCTATGATTTTTCCTTGACAGTAATAGATTGGCTGCAGTGGTTCATAGCCTGGTGGCTTGGAGCTGCACTTGAAGACTACTTGGAAGTTAGAGTTACTACAGAAAATGGCAGTCAGGATTGCAAGGTGGAATCATATCACACCATTTCTGAAAGAACCAAACTGCCTGCCTATTCATTTCTGAGCCCAGTTCAAATACTTATATACTAATACTTATATAGTTTGCTGGTGCTCATGCTTAAAGCCCAACATGGCTTGGAATGCAAATATCTGAAGGGGCACCTTGTCTTGCATCAGCCAGCCTGAGCCTTGAATTTCCTTAAGAGGAAAACCAGCAGGCTTCCTTTAAGGTGAAGTACTGGGTCCATGGAAGAATTCCTCAGGTATAAGCATTGTAATATACAACTCCTGAGCTAGGGAGGCCCGGGGAAGATAAACCTGCATTTTCTATCTGAACTTAGCTTAAAATCAGTACTGGTTTTTAGCTTCTTGTATCCTGAAGTTAACTCATACATATTATTGATCTTGGGGTTCTGCCTGATTCTGATTATACTTGCCTGTTACCCCAGGTACTGGACCTTGGCAACATCCCTGACTTATCTCTGGAAAAGTCTTGTTTGCTGGTGAAAATTCTGTTTCATTCTTGCCTTGTTTGCTCTTTCATAGAGACGTAAAGGCTTAGGGGAAAACTAGAAAAATGTTTTCCCATTTTCTGTGTTCTATTTCCAGAACCTTCCCATCTCTATTCTCCATTGCAATTAAGTTTAGAGAAAGAGATACAAAGTCTGTTTGTGTATAAATTGCCCTGGTACCGTAAGATGAAGCATAATATAAAATTTAATTAATTTATCTGTTAATTATTGATTAGCATTCTAAAACCATGCAGGAATAGCCTTATGCATATGCCCACTTCCTATTTAGCTTGGGCTTACAGAAACATGGGACTGAAGAAACTTTTGGGTTACCAAGTACAAGTTCTGTTGTTCCACTGCTAACAAACTGGCATTTTAGTAGCCCTTTGTGACCTTCAAAGGGACCCAGAATTTCACAGGTTTTTTAAGCCTTCAAGGAAATAAGATCTGTTTTCCATTTCAGCTCCAGCTGCTGAATAATATTTTCCAACTCAGATTTCATGGCTATAATTAATGCTTCTAAATTTTAATTGGACTCTGTGGTTAAAGTATTAGAACCACATTAAGCCCAAATTTATGTGGTATATTATTTTTACACACATAGAATTTGTATGACTGCCTTAACAGATGTTCAAGCAGATTATTCTGAGTTTTTTTTGGCAGAATCCCGATTCATTGTTCTAAAAAAAGGTGCTGTTCTGCTCAGATTAATTTGTCACTCCCTTTGATACAAAATCTACTAATACAAGTTACAAGCCAGGCAGGGCTCAGAAAGATATATTCAGAAGACTCTTGCATGTTTTCAGAATATTCTTTGTGGACCTTAAGGAAATCAAGTACTGCCTCTGTGAGGCTCTTGACTTTTTAAAAAAACTGTGTTTTGTTTCTGCTTAGCAAAAAGTACACATCTGTCAAAACAGTGAAGGAAAAGATTTGTGCAGCCCAGTTTTCAAACTTTTGACTTTCTGGGAAACCTCTCCAGAATGCGTATTACACATTCTAGGGTACATACCTAGTTTATCTAGGGCACCAACCAGCAGCTGTACCCACAATGCCTGACATGACAGATGGAGTACTTTGGGAGATGAGGGGAGGGAGCGGTCATAAGCCACATACACATGTTGCTGCTGTAGTCTGGTAGTGGCAGCTTACTACTAAATTTGACAGCAAACTGCTATGGTGGCCTTAAAAGGTCATCTCCAGCTTTCCAGATTACTGCAGAATTTTGATTAGCTAACAGTTGTTTTGCTGCTACTGCCACCGCATCAAAGTGCTGTGGTAGTACATGATGCTTGCCGCTTCCATATATAGACTGACATGCATAATATTCCTCTCTGGCTACGGTGGAAAACCAGGTGTACCGTGCAAACTCTCTCACTGGAGCTTCTGCACCATGACTGACTTTCCCACTGAGGAACCCCAAGCAAAACTTCCAAAACCCATGTTTAGAGAAGTTTGCCTTCAGTTTGGTTAATTATGGGTTTAGTGATGCCTTTACAAAGAAATGGAGAAGGAAAGACCCAGCTCAGAAAGCCAGATCTACTGAATTATATAGCAGAAACTGATGTACTCTGATAACGATGCTACCTTCTGGAATGGTTTAAAAGTAAGAAAGTGACCTCTGAGTGTTATGATCACAAATTATACAAATCAGTGTGCTTATGATAGTGATTAGGTTTCACCTGGTCCATTTACAAGCCACCCAGTATCCTTTGGCCAAGGAGGTATATGTGGTTGGCTCATAGGCCATACTACTGGATTGTTATGAAGCCAGGTGTCCTCTATAGGAAACATGGGGGTGATCTATATAAATTTATTCAACTGGGAATGAACTCATCACTTAGGATAATCCAGCTGTGTTTCTCTTGTTTGAATGTCAACATAGGCTCACCATTAAAGAAGCCATACTGGAGGTAAGTGGAATAGGTCAGGGTACCAAAAAAGGGCACACATCAAACCAAACCCCAAAATACTAGTAAGTGATTTGTGGAAGGTCATGATGCTAAATGTCTTGACTGAGCCTGCATCAGGGTAAGGTCTGAAGCATCGCCCAGATGGTGCTACAAAAGTAGATATGCCCATCTGCAAGGTGGCTGCCACCAAACACTTACATAGTTTGCATGCAACACCGTGAAGAACTCTGGATTAGTGATGAACTTGACAGCTGGAGACTGTAGCAACAAAGTGATTTTTTGAGAATTCACAGGTGAAACAGGTATTTCTCTTCTAATTTCTGAAAGCAGAATACTGTAACATGTAAAACACAGTAAAAGAACACACTGCATTACAATCTCTATCATTTCAGTTCTTTCCTCTTCTGGTAATCCCATTCATTTGCATGAATCCTTACCTTGCTAACTTTGCACTGTGTACAGGTAAAACATCTTAATCTGTGGCACAAACCTTCCCAATTAATCTGGGATGTTTCCTAGGATACTTATTCTCCACTGGTCAATTCAGCAGCACAGTCAAATGTATCAACTGGGTTTTAGGCTTAAATCTCATGGAGATCAGAAACCCCTGCCTGAGGTGCAACTTCATACTGTAGATGGGATCTCATAAAATGGTCCTACAGAAAAGCCCTTTCTCATTTAGAAAAAAGTGGATGTCTGTGAAAAGGCTAAGGTAGAACCCTTTTCTCTGATATACAAACTTCAAAATAGAGAAACATTTCCTTGTAAGAACACTCACTACTGAACAGGGCTGTACAAATCAGCAAGACCTGAGCTTGCTTCAATTCTCCAAATTCCATTTTGAAGTTTGCTCTGATTCAAGTCTGATTGTGAGCTTTCTTTTTTCTTTTACATGAAGATCTGTGCATAATTTCATGTGTATTTTTCCAAACCTATACATCAACTGTGTGCCATTTGAAATGTAGGTATTCTTCTCCCGTTGAGTAAAGTGTATTTGTGTGCATTTTTCAAAATTATGCAGCTGCTTACAAGCATTTTTTCAAAGGTATTCATGCTGTCAAACACATTTTTTGGTCCGTAGTTCAGATTTCAAACTCAGAAATTAATGGCTTTGAACTGCAGATTGCTTCTGTGTTCATGTTCTATCTGGAAGGTGTTAACTAGATGAATCTTGATCAAAAATGAACTGAATTTCTCATACACCCCTACTTCTAGGACATCTTTGCAGTCTGAAATGGTACAGTCTCAACACAGGTTTACCTGCGGTCATAAGTGAAGAACATTTGTTGCCCCATGCTTCCTTTTACCACTTAGTACATTTGATACTAGTTTTGGTATCAACAGCAGAAAGAGTTAAAAGACAAATACCATCTGAAACCATGTAAAATCTTTTACCTGAATTTGGCTGGGAAGGATCAGGCTCAGAATCGCTGCCTCCTCCAGGAGGGAGCCTCTCTACCCTGCTGCTGACTACACCGTCCTCCTCAGTTCTCTCTGTAGCAATGGTTCGCTGGATATTTTGGTACCTTGATGTTGCAAAAAGAAGAGGAAGAAAAGTACAATGGTCAAATACACCTCCAAAATGAAGTGAGCTCTGCAAAGCTTAGTAGCATATAGGCAACGTGTGCAAATGAAGTAACAAGAAAGAAAGCACACGGTGCGTGCAGCTACTGTCTTGTACCTCTGACACAAGGAATGAACCAGGCATTATTCCCTAAGGTACAGGCAAGTGTCCAGATTCTATCCTACCACTTTTCCTGGCCAAACACAGACTTCACTGTAGGACCATTTATAGCTGTGTATATATATTATTGCACTTTGTACTATTATGATCTGAAACAGTTGTGAGTGGGACATGGGCACAGGAAACATGGCATAAACATCTTTATCCAAGCAAATGAATAACTACAGCACTGTTCAATAAACCAGTTGTGTTTGCAACAGCCATAGAGCCAATGAGTATCAAGGCTTGGCCAACTAACAAGAAAAGCTACAAGCAAGAGAGAGATTTGTCTGTATTGATGGGTGCCTTTACACTCATTAGCTTCAAAGTGAATCACAGTTCTTTTGCCGGATCAAACAGATGTCTCGGCAATGGCCATCATACACACCAGTCCAACTGAAGGCTTGTCTGGAATTTGGCATTAAAAACATTTGCATGATCTTACCACAATAGACTGATTCCCTGGGCATCAAGAATTAACATTTTCCTAATTGTTTACAATATTATTCCAAGCTCTCCTTTGACAAGTTTTTTATGGAAAAGTTTACACCAGCAAAAACATGCATCCCTTCCTCTTCCAGCTGGACCTATTTCCACTATTGGACATTGGTTGAGCCTAAAGTGATATGTGGGACTGAAACTAAAGGGAGATAAACTATGCACAGGTAAAGAGTTTGGCTTCCCCTGCCCATGCATTCCATTTGCTTTTCAGCCACCTCCTGCTTTGACTGAGGTAGACACACATTTAAAGAAATTGGTCTGCTACAGTCATGTTTGGTCTGGCTACTTCTCCTAAAGCAGTGGGTGGACTACAACACTGCTGGCTAGCGCAGCTTGGTAACATCTGCAGGACCATAAGTTGGCCATCCCTGTGCTAAAAAATGGCCTAGAGGACATACAAGGCAGGGAAAAATCCAGTTCAAATGCATATTACATCAACACAGGTCAGTTCTAGGGATTGATATATGGCTTAATGTGTCAGTGGCTTATGCAGATATTGTGTATTTCACACAGTATTAGCCTGCTGCTGAAATTAGAACAAATTCTTTTCAGAGAAGGAACGACTGTAGAATCCAGGACTTACACATTCTTAACTCAATAAACAAGGCCCCAATTAAGAAACTAACACCCCATTTTAGCATTAATTATCTAACAGCTTGTAAGCCTCTCCCTTGGTCAGTTGGGAGCTACACCACTAGGACAGGAGAAACTGCTTCAGAGTTCTGTTCAGCACTCAGAGTATCAGACACTTTGGGGTTCTCCCAAAGCCTGCAGAGGTTTGTTGTTGTTGTTGTTATTTGCTTGATGAAGTAATAGTTCCTACTGCATTTCAGACCTACAACCTACTCATTGAAGGGCAACAATGAAGGAACCAGAAAAGATCAGGCCAAGATAATCCACACACTTGCATTCCTGATCATTATGTACAGGCATAAAAGCTGGATAGTGACAAAAGCAGAAAGTTAAAAAAAAAAAGATGCTTTTGAAACATGATGCAGGAAGAGAGTTTTGTGAATACTCTGTACTGACAGAAAGATGTACAAATGGGTTCTAGATGAAATTAAGCCAGAACTTCCCCTGGAAGCAAGAATAATAATCTTATTCAGGCAGATAATGAGAAGGCAAGAGTCACTAGAGAAAATAATTATGTTAGGGAAAGTTGAAGGGAGAAGTAGAGGAGAAGGGCCAAATATGAGATGGATTGATTCCATAAAGGAAGCCACAGTCTTATTTATTTATTTGGAATTCATGTATGCTGTCCCATTCGCATAAGCCTCGGGGTGGCTTCCAATGCATAAATAAATATCTATACAAATACATAAAAAACTGGAAACATCCTGGCATAATAATTTAAAACCAATAAATAAATTCAGCAATTAATTAAAATAACATTTAAATAAAAAGGTCTTAGCCTGGCGCCGAAAAACAAATAACGACGGCGCCAGGCAGACCTCTCTGGGGAGCGCATTCCATAAGTGGGGCACCACTGCAGAGAAGGCCCTCCTCTGGGTATTCACCCTCCTAATATCTTTCATGGAGGGTTCCCAGAGAAAGGCCTCTGCCACTGATCTCAAGGGGCGGGAGTGCAAATATGGCCGCAGAAGCTCCTTTAGATAAGCAAGTCCCAAGTCTTGAGTTTAGAAAAGCTGAGCAGGCCTGTTAAGGAATGGATTTTTTTGGATGGGGGAAGGGGTAGGGAGAATTCATTCACAGGGTCACCATAAATCAGAGACAACTGGTCAGCACTCAACCAAAAATTTAACGGAAATGACTATAAATTTCAAACACCACAGTGAGCTTTGGACCAAGTATCCCCCAGTCTTGTCAGTGACTAGTTTGAGCCTCTAAAGCAGTGGTTCCCAAACTGTTTTGGTCATGGAACCTTTCTGAAGATTTTATTTTATTGCGGAACCCTAACTCTATCTCTGATTTTTGCTAAGCATTGTGAACCCACAACATTCTTCCTTCTTTCACCTGCTCCTATTGCCTGAGTGCTTTGCATAATGTAGTAGGTCTGGAAATAAAGAGAAAACATTTTAAATATAACAAATAAATAAAGCAATTATATGGTAATATCCCAAATGAATTATTTCATTTTTTACCAACACTATGCAATAGAGTCCTAGGAACCAGATGAATTTCCTTGTTTGCTGCTTAGTCACTAGCTAACAATCGAATAATTGGCTTCATGTGGTTTCATTTTAAAATCCATTTTAAATTTGATTTTTGAGTTTTCATAGAATCCATAAGAGGTTACTGCAGAACTTAAGGCCAAAAAAAGTTGTAACTAAAGAAATATGGGGAGTAGAGTTACAATAGAGCTAAGTAGTCCTAGAAACAAAAGTGTGAAAATTTAATAGATCTATGTTTGATTGTAAGAGCTGAACATTTTTGTCCAGTGTAATTCATTTCTGCAATAATCAAAGCTTCTTAGAGAGAGACAGAGGAAGAGGGCAAGTCAGTAAATAATATAATAAAATTAACTTTTAAAAACACTAATAGAACTTGAGATTTGTTATTTTGCCTTTAGACATGCCCTTTACAAACAAATTATTAGACTTCACAACCATATTATTAACATGGCTCAACTTTTTCCCATTCTCTCTTTTATATGAACCTATAAACATTTTTATTCACTTCACAGCAGGCTGACTGAAACAAACTTTCCATTCCAATATAGTCTGAGTTTTATGACGCCCCTGATGCAACAGCAGAAAAGAAAAAAAGTAGTTCATCTGTTCATGGGCATATATACATAAGCATTCTATTTAATTAGATGGTAGAAAATCCCCTGCTGGCAAATGATGTCTAGGAACTGAAGGAAGGGCCAAGAGACTGCTACTTATTTAGTCTCAATTATTCAGAAAATCTTCAATAAATTCCAAAAAAATGCCAACATAATTTTAAAATATCTTTGAAATCACTTAGACAGATATGAAAAACCCAGCCAGTTTTCAAACGATAACTGTGATGGAGGTTATAGTGATTGTATATGTAACAGTAACTTCCACATTTCTACCTTCTGGAACGCTTTCTACTATACCTGGTTTGTCACAGAACCCGAGTGTATCTTCTATCAAAAACATGTTCTAATGGAGGTCTCTGAGGGTGTAACTGTGGACCTTTTTGATCTTCCTGTAGCAATTCTCTTCTGTAGCTGCTCATGGTTAAGGGAAAGTACATCAAGGAGGGGGAATATTCTGACTGCCATCAGTCACCTCACTGAGAAACTCCTGAGGAACCTCAAAAACAATACACTGTAACAGTAGACTACTTTTGCATTGTGTTCATTTTCTTGTGAGGTAAAGCCTAGTAAATATGCAAATGCAACCCAGTTCATTCCAGTATGGGGCAAATGTAGAGACAATGCTTTCTCATCACTTAATAACTGTGATGAGAGCAGAAACAAAGGGCAGGCTCACTCTTCCCTCCCTTCTCAAAAATCTCTTCCTTTGTTCTCTTTTGTGCACTGACCAGATCAACTTCAAACCAGTGTTCGAAACCAAAGTTTGGAGCTGTTTTCAAACCCTCTTTACAGCTCGCCATTGTAAAATTAACCTTTTTGCTAAACCATGAGTCGGGAGAAGGAATTCACACAAAGGAAGGAGGGCAACATGCAACCCTGTGGCAAACTCCCCACATCTCAACCATGCTCAAGAATTCAGGAAGTATTACATCCCCACTGGCCTTATTTGAGGATGTTGACTATTTGCTGAGGGCTTCAATAATCTACTCCAGGCCACTAATGCTGAATGCCACTTTTTGGTAGTCTACAAGCCACACACTTCATACATAGGTTATTTATGTGTTACCAGGGAATGCAATTTTCTTTTCCATGGTGCCCCAGGAACACAGAAAAAAGAACCAAATGGGATCCTTCTTACAGTAACACTGCTAGCTCCAGAGCTACACAGGGTGGGAAGGAGCCATGTCCTCTTTATTTATCTTAGTAGACAATAGAGATTTTCAGGATGTGGTAATTTGCAGTTTTCATATGCTTACATGAAAGCACTTTAATTAATATAAACTGAGGGTGGAAGTCACTTCACAATGTCTCTTCCTCACATAAAAATATCGCTTCTTGTACTAGTGCTGATGAAAAAAACCAAATAATATGAGTACCATAAAACAAAATACTTGGGAACCTGTTTTTAAAAGGCTGTTTTGTTCTGAATAATTATTTTGGATTGTTTCACAATAGCTCTGATAAAAACCAAATGTAGGAGCTCCCACTATATTCCCTGAACACTAAATTGAAGATTTTATGTAGCATGAACCTTAAATGAAAAACCAAACAAATAC